GGAGCACACATAGACAAAAACTACCATTCAGGGTCTAGGCAGTGCTTCTAGTGCAAGGCAGAACTGTAACATTGAACATCTTCAACTTCGACGCTACACGGTAAACCAGCAAGCCCAAACCTGGAACGCCACAGTGCCCATGCCTAAAAGCGCCTCTGGCACAAAGCCCCACCCTAAACCCTGGCATGCCTTCAACTGCCTCCGATCAAGAAGTTTCCCTGTCGTCTTAGGTACACGAAGCTCGCCACAAAGTTAGCCTGGGTTGTCCAGCGGCGTCCAGTGTGTGGCTTTCGAAGCTGATTTCGCGGTTTCTCAGAATTCGGGTTCGGGGTGTTCTTTCTCCAAGGCCCCTCTTTCGGGGTGCATATCCTTTGCTCTACATTCGGTTGTGATTTTTTTTTGGAAACTGCTGGTCTTGTGTGTTTGTTTGATACCAAGGATCGTGTCATCTGGAGCCTATGGTCAAATTTCATTGTGAGTCGTCGGGTCGTCAGACTCCTGAGTCGGAAATATTGGTAACATGATCCCTCAGCAGTTCCTGAGTATAGTTCCCGTATGTTCCAGTGATCTACCCGTATCGAAGCTTTGGAACATGTGAAAAGGACTACTGCCAAGTGCCACCTCCCCCGCTTCTAAGAATCACAGAATACATAGGTGTGAAAGCGCAGCTAGCAAGACTGCTTATCTGTGGTCTAACGGTCTAACTCAGAACAAACAACGTGACATCTACTACGCCCAACAGAACCTAGTCAAACTATCCTAGCATCGTTGCCTTGCTGCTTCTGTTAGGGTGGTGTAGCTTTTGAGTGTGACGGAGGCTTCTCCGTGAGGGTCCATGTAGTCATAGCATATACTTGGGCCTTAAGGTCGCCCCTATGTTGGGCTTCACTCATACGAGTTCCGGACAGACCCCTAAACCCTATGCCCGAAGCCCTAAACTAGGTTTGACTCTCAGACAATACACGACCCTCATCTGGGTGGTTGTCAAAATTAGGCGTCCTTTCTGGGTCCTTAATTTAATACGGCACCTAATATTTAGGGTACCCCAAAGGGACCATAACTTTGACAACTGCCCATCTAGGACCCAGAGTTGGCACTTCTTCCCTTTTTGAGGGTTCGGGTTCCCCTAGAACCCCCTTTAAACCAGAAACGGCTCCGTTTTTTTTCCTAGGTTACTCTTGGGTCTCGTCATACAGGCTCTAAGTATGAAGAGCTTTACAAAAAGCCCCAACGGGGATCGCTAGCCCAAGAAGCTTTTGCGCCCCATTGGACTGGTTAGGCTTCTTCAACTATAGCTTGCCCCCAGGGGTCCAAAGGACCCAATTATTAGGTAGTGGGGTTGAGGATAGTAGTTATGCAGGCTACTCTTTGGTGGAGGGGGAAGGGTCCAGGGATGGTGGAGGGGTGGGGTGGAGGGGTGGAGGGGTGGAGGGGTGGAGGGGAGGTGGAGGGGTGGAGGGGTGGAGGGGGAGGGGTGGAGGGATGAGGTAGTGGAGGGGGCTGGAGGGGTGGAGGGGGTGGCGGTTGTTTTCGGTACGATACATTGCTGCGCGGTTCGGCGCGGTGCGGTAACGGTTCGGCGCGGTGCTGCGAAATTGTACTGTTGAAACGGCCATGATTAGGTACTTGGACCCTGAGGCTTGGTTTCACGTTAGGGATCCTACTGAGATTTAGGGGTATATTGCTTAACTGTGGGATGTTGACTTGTATGGCTCCCGTTTACTATGGGGACACGGGGACACGGGGGAACCTAGTGAAGTGTTTCGGCGTCGACGTGGCCGTTCTTCTAAGTCCGGGGTTTCTTCGTGGGGCTCGCTTCAGGATCCTGCCATTTTATGTAAGGTACTTTACGGTTTAGGGTTTAGGGTGCTTCGGGTTTAGGGTTTAGGGTGCTTAGGGTTTTACCATATGTGTAGGGTTTTGTAAGCACAGCTTGAACCTGCGCTCGGAGCCAAAACTTGGACTTTGCATTGCGGTGTTCTTGTTCGGATAGCGTCTTATGCGGTTGGGATCGTTTTGCACCCGAAAAGACAGACACTGCAATTAAGGATCTAGCCCTAAGGTTCCATGTACCCATATAGTATATGCTTAGGCCTTAAGGGGGTTCCTATATGGGTACTTTAGGGTATAAGTATATACTATATGGCTACATGGAACCTTTGGGTAGGCAGATCCGACGCTTGAATCCATTGTTCCCTAAACGTGCGTTGTATTGAGTTTGTTAATGTTAGGTCCCCAATACCCAACCTTTAAAGGGATCTATAGGGTTCCTTTTAAGGGCTCTATATGGGTTTAGGGTTCCTTTAAAGGGCGATGGCTGTGTTTAGCTAGATCCCCAATACCCAACCTTTAAACTCATTTGGGCTCTTACAGTTGAGCAGGAATCGGAAAGTTTAATCTTTCATTTCTGCGGCTTATTGGGTAAGTAAGTTAAGCTAAGCCTATACCCCAAAAGCCTAAACTGTTCACTATAGACTCCCAAACCAAATTACCTCGTAAGCCAAGGGTACGGATCATGTTCCTCTGCCGCGCACGGGGCCCAGTAGACGTCTCGCAGATCAACATCGCAGTTCTGGAGGGTCAAGCTTTCCAAAGGCCATCTAAACCCTACACTCATGATAAGTTCTACAGTTCCTGTAGTGGTTTCAAAACGGACTTTATAAGGGCTTTCATAGGCATGTCCTTGGTTCCCGGCGGTACCCTTCTTGTCTTTTATGTCTCGGCTTTCGTGTTAGATTGAACAGCCGGGAGAGGCTTCTAGCGGAACAAGGCTTCAGCTGAGGTCCTTTAGCTGCCCTCAGCCATGCTGTTTAGGGTTTAACAAGTTATAAGGATATAGGATTGCAGCATATTCGTCTAATCTTTTGGTGACGTCCCACGGCCGTCTAAGCCTGCATGCCGCGTATGCCAGACCCTGAATTGCAGTACTGAATACTTGTTGTGGCTGCTGGTTGCGTTGTTGGAGGATCCCAACCATAAAAAGGTCATCCGAGAGAAGGTGTTTACTGCAGTTCCGGATCTAGATACAGGGGAAGATATCCACGAATGCTGCATCCTCCGATCTGCTCTGCTGTAAGCTGCGTACAGTAGAAGCCAAAAAGTTGGAAACCCGATAGCCTCAATCCCTAAGAGTAAAGTATATGGCATCCCAGCACTATTTGTCCTTAACTAGGTTTCCAACTTTTTGGAGTTTGCTGTAATCCCTATTAAATCCCAATGACCTCATAGTTAGGGCCCTAGACCCCTTAAGGACCCCATAATAAGGTCCCTGGAGGCATAGGGTAAGCCCTACTTATAAGCCCTAAACCTGGTTCCGGTTCGAATTCAGCTCTTTACACCTTCAGCCCAACACCTCAGACCCTGAACCCGAAGCCCAAAACCCGAAACCCGAAATGCTAAACCCTAATCCCTAAACCCTAAATGCTAAACCCTAAACAGACCCTGAACCCGAAGCCCTAAACCCCTAAACCCTCAAACCCCTAAACCCTATACCCTGATAGAATCCCTATAGATCCCTTTAAAGGGTCCCCATTGAGGGTCCCAACGCCGTTCAGAAGTCCCGGGAGTGAGGTCTTGTGCGGACGGGTGCGCGAGCTGACTGCCGCACCATCCCAGGAGCAGAAGGAGGCCTAACCTGGACCCTAAGGAACCTACCTTTTTAGGGTTCCCTAATATGATTTCTTTATATAAGTCCTTAAAAAGGGTAGGTTAAAGGAATGTCTTATTGGCTGTAAACTCAACTTTTGAACTTTTGGGGTTCTTATAAGGTAGTCGATTCTGAAAGTTTCAACTTTTGTTTCTTTGGGTTTTGGGCCCGTGAGATGTAGAGGCCAAAGTATTTACCAACATATTCCTTAGGGGTTCCTGATTATATTAGTACTACAAAGGAGCCAAAACGCTATTTTACCTGTGTAGGCCCCTGCAGTGCTGGCTGGCGGTAGGTGTCGTCGTTTGTAGGGTCTTTAAGGTAAAGGCTTTGTGGGTTAGTGAGCTTCACAGGTTGATTGGATTTGCATGGTTATGTCACGCTTGACAAGGTCTTATTGGGTGCTTGAACGGATATAGTGAGTGTTTTTTGTCGGGTCTCGCACGGTTTTCAAGAGTTGTTTGGCCCTCTACAGGGTTTTAAAGTGTTTCAAGGATTCTGAAATGTTTCGTAGGGGTAGGGAGGGTTTGGGTGGTCTCTCGGCTCAATGGCTGTCTCAGTGGTCGCTTCTAGGCTGTTGTTGTTTATAGGGTGTTTTAGGGGCTTTTGGGCTTGAGGTTTGGGCTTTAGGGCCCGGTAAGGTGCTAAAAGAGATTCTACAAAGGTCCAGTAGGTCTTTTCTAACCCTTAGGGTCCGTGTGCTCACACAGTATATACTTAGGTCCTAAAGTGGTCTCTATATGGATGGTTGTCAAAACTATGGCCCCTTTTTGGGTGCCCTAAATATTAGGTGCCGTATTATAATAAGGACCAAAAAGGGGACCCTAGTTCTGACAACCACCCATATGGGCACTTTAGGGTCAAAGCATACTCATACGGATGCATGGATTTTCGTGGCAAGGGGCTTTATCAGGGGTTTAGGGTTCAGGGCTTAAGGGTTTAGTGTTTAGGGGTTTGGTTTCTTGGCCCCAGAGTCGGCGGTGTTCGAAGAAAAGCTCCAAATCCGTTATGCTCTTAAGCTCCAAACTGGCCAGTTCTAGCTGCCTTCTCGTCTTGTTGCCTTTCTGGGGTCTTAGGTTGCTTATAAACCTACCAACTACCAGAGCCTTAGACCCTAAACCCAAAAACCCTAGACGATAAACCCTTAACGAACCAAAAAGGGAGTTTAGAATATAGGGGGTTCTGAAGGGTTTAGGGGTAAGGGCCTCCCAAGAAGTCTTCAGATCCTCGAATTCAGGGCCCATCCATAAATATATCCTAAGGCCGTAAACCGTCCCAAACGGAAGCCTTTTCGGCAAAACCGAAGAAGGAGAAAGACATTCTCCGCCACAGAACCGAAGAAGGTTATGAAGCCATGGAGGACGGCCCCATGAAGAAGGCGGTCCTCAAGGTAGCAAAGCTCCGGAGCCTTTCATTCGCCATGAAGGCGTTTGCTCGGGAGCACTACTCCCTTCTAAAGAAGGGAAAGGATGGCATCAAAGAGCTTGATGACCTTTGGGCTAAGGAAAAGGATCCTAAGCCTTACTTCCCAAAGGCCAAGGCCAAGGCTGGCCAATCTCTACCATGCCCATATTTGCGTCCGGCTATAGTTTATATTCCTTGATAACCGGATATCATTCATTCCTCAATCAGGACCTCTATATTCCCAGCACCCTAAATGCTGAACCCTAAAAATCTTACACCCCACACCGCATATCCTAAACCCTGCTCTAGTTATTGCGGCCTCTAGGAACCTCGACCCAAAAACCCCAGCCCTTCAACCCTAAACCCCTAAATCAACCATAAACCCCTAAACCCCTAAACCCTTAAACCCCTAAACCCCCAAACCCCTAAGCCCCTAAACCCTAAACCCTAAACCCCTAAACCCCTAAACCCCTAAGCCCCTAAACCCTAAACCCTTGTGAAATCTTCCGTAGCTAGTGTCGATCATGTACATCCGACGTTTCCTCGTGGCCTGGAGGGCTCGAGGTCCTGAGGTGGGAGGGTCTGGGATCGCTCTGGGAGCGCATGGACCTGTGAGCTGGGAAAACGAAGGTGAGGCCATCTTCAACGGCAACTGCACTGACAGGGCTCAGCTGCTTCAGATTCTGGGATTCGGTCTTCGGAATTTCTTCTTTGAGCTGATCGGGGATCAGGCGCTGCCAGTGGGAATTCTCATTGAATTCACACTGGTAGCGGAGCCTGTTGCTTCGCTACTGTAGCGGAAAAGCGGTACTTCGTATTCGACATTCCTTGGTGGGCTGGGAGACAATGCCTCCTAAGCAGGCTGAGGCACCGGCAACAGCGTCTGGGACAGTACCTGTTGATTCTGGGGCTTTTCAGTTACCATGGGCGGCTATTCCACGCTTCAGTCCGGGGGTGACAGATGTTACGGAGTATAGTGGCAAGCTTCAGTTTTTGGCGGCGATGTGGCCGCAAGAACACCTTCATCTTCTAGCTCCGAGGGCGGCGCTGCTGTGTGAGGGTACGGCTTTCAAGAAGGTGTCGAAGATTTCAGCAGACAAACTCAAGACCAAAGATGAGTCGGGAATCAAGCTTCTGGTTGCAACTCTTGGTGGTTCTTGGGGAAAGACTGCTTTGGAAGAAAAATATGATACCTTTGAGAAAGCTATCTACAGCACGGCGCAGAAGGCGGATGAAACCAATGACAGCTACCTGGCTAGGCATGACGTTCATTTTGAAGAATTGCTGGCACAGGGAGTGACAATGGAAGAAGTTCGAGCTTATGTTCTCCTTAGACAATCTCAGCTGTCAGCAGAGGATCGTAAGAAGATTGTGGTTGAGATGGGAGGCAAGTTGGAGTACTCCAAGGTGGTTTCGGCTATTCGTCTTTTGGGATCGCGGTTCTTCGCAGACCTGCAGGGACAGCGCACGGCGAGGACCAAGACCTACGACGCCAACGTGATCGAAGAGACCTCTCCGGACGAACCGGAGCGAGCCTATCAGGCTACAGCGCAAGGCCTGGTGGACGAGGCTGAGCCGGAGCTTGACGGAGAGTTCATCGAGGCCATGGTTGCGGCAGAGGACCCTGACGCTTTGGTAGTTCAAGGGTTCGAGGAAGAATTGGAAGGATTCTTCCAGGATACTCCAGATCTGCAGGAGGCCTTGGTGAGCTACTTGGAAGCTCGACAGAAGCTTCTCTCCAAGAAACGATCCCGAGGTTTCTGGCCAGTGAGTGCCGGGAAGGGCAACTTCAAGGGATCTAAGGGTTCCAAGGGCCGTGGGAAAGGTGGCAAAGGTGGTCGAGACCAGCTTTTAGCCAGGATCGCCCGCAGCCACTGCCGCATCTGCGGGGCCAAGGGGCATTGGAAAGCGGAATGCCCGCAGAAGGGCAAGACTTCTGCCTCTGCCGAGGCGACTACCACGGTCGCCGAAGCCCTCACAGGTGAGACCGACACGGTGGCCACAGACCGTCGTGATGCCGATGAGGTGCTTGAGCAGGTTCCCGCCAATGCCATGAGCCTTGCCGAGGCTTACATATCCTGGGACACGGTAGATAAGCAAGGGATTACTGATAGGCTTCAGCGGATGGTTGCCAATCTTCGCAAAGCTAAGCCTCAGAATGCAATCCCCTTCAGGCCGAAGCGTTGTGGGGCAATCTCCTTGACTGAGCCTGTGCGCTTCAAGCGTGCCCAGGATCAGGCTGAGCGTGTGGATGTGCCCGCTCTTGCCTTGTTCAGCACAACGGCTACGGATGCAATCCTAGATACGGGTGCTAGCCGATGTGTGATGGGAAAGAGCCTTGTCAAGAGTTTCCTCAACCAGCTGAGCGAGGCGATCCGAGCCCAGGTTAAGATAGTGAAAAGTTCCGTTCGGTTCAGATTCGGTAACAATCAGACTCTGCTTAGTGATCGCCGAATCCTGATGCCTTTTCAGACGGCCGCCCGCCAGATTCTGTGGTTGAGCATTGAGGTGGTTCCGGGAAGTACTCCACTCCTTTTTAGCAAAAGGGCCATAAAGCAATTAGGGGGTGTCATAGATACGGAATCCGATACATGCCACCTCCGTAGATTGCAGAAGAGCCTGCAAATGCGAGTGGGCCCGACGGGACTCTACCTTATAGACCTGGCCCGCCTGTGCGAGGAAAGCAACCTGATGAGTGAGTGCCACTCTGCATGTGAAGATGACAATCAGAATGCTCCCGCCCAGGACCTTTGCATGACCAGAGCCCAAACCCCGACGATAGGTGAAACGCGTGTGTGTACAGCAAGCGCTGGTGTTTCAGGGGGTTTGAAGGTTTGGAATTCAGACTGTCAAAGCTTTAAAAAGCTAGACCATGTTAATGTTGTTTCCCAGAAGCCCCAAGGGTCTTTTGAGCAGAGTGCATGCCCAGTGAAAGATGATCAAGAAGAACAAACAGCAGCCGTGATTGCCAACAAGTGCGAGATTCCTCAGGCATCCCGTGTGACCGCGAAGGATCCCCATGGCTCCCAAGCGTGCCCCGGTGGTTCCGACCGAGAGTGTGCCCTCGAGCACGCCAGTGCTGAGCCTAAGTGCCCGGTTCAGCCGCCTGCAAGACCCTTCGGTCGCTTTTACGCTGGAAGAAGTGCAAACCATGCCTTTAGACCAGCTCGGCGAGACCAAGATCCTCTTCGGCAAGGCGATGAAAGGACGTTCCTTCTCGGACGTCTACACGAACGAGCACGCATGGGTTCACTGGATCCTGGACCACATGTCAACGAGCACCAAGATGGAGCATGTGGCCTTCATCACCTTCGTGCGCCGCTCAGTGGAAGAGGCAGAGCAGACGGAAGCTGCTTTGCTTCAACCCTCGGGGTCCGGAGGGACGCCAGGCGCTTCGGCCAAAGCGGCTCCGAAGAGCCAATGCCATCTCTCTCTCGAGGGCGTAGCCTGGGAAACATCCTGGGATGTGGTGCACGAGCAAGATCGCCCCGATTCCGCACTGCAAGAGCAAGTGACCCTGTTGGGCGAACGCTTGTCGCAGATGGAGGGCCTGATGCAGCAAATGATTCAGCATCTCAGCCAGAGCTCACCGCCTGCCTAGGTGACGTGTGGGATTGCCAACGGGAGTTAGAGGTTCTAGTTGCACAAAGTAGGGTGATACTTCAAGAGCTTGAGCCAAAGGCAAAAGGGTTACTTGAGCAGGAAGCTTCCCTATCCCAACTAAAGAACTTTCTTAAAACAATTCCCTGGCATCTACTGTCACCTGCGAGCTCGCATGAGCGGGGCTGCCTCGAAGAGGGGTCACATGCCACCATAGGAGATTCTAAGGAGCCTGCCTATGTAATGTTCGGTATGTATGTGCATGGGGGAGTTACGGGATTGACCCGAGTAACGAAAGCTTATCCCTTCATCACCCGAGTGATCACCCGTGTTGTGCAGCTAACAAATCCACAGCATGAGTTCACGACTGTAGGAATCAGCGTCAACAAACTCCTCCAGCCCCACAAGGACAGTTTCAATTCACGAGAAACCCCAAATCTGATTATTCCACTTGATTATCCGACTTCAGGGGGAGAAGTGTGGGTGGCCAGACCACCTCGTGCGCACCAAGTGCCGTTGGATCGGCAGTGTGGCAGTGCAATGCAGTCCGGATCCTTGCAAGCCTTGAAGCCTGGACTGCTTCTAGACCCTCATGTCTGGCACGCCAGCCAGCCCTGGTGTGGGAATAGATCCCTGATAGTAGCCTTTTCCCTTAAGCCCCTAGAGAAATTGCCGGTTTCGGAACGTAAGTGGTTAAGGGATAATGGGTTTGTCCTCCCAGCGATGGATGCAGTCCGGCAAAATGCCGAAATGTGTAAGCGCTCTGATGTGAGCCTGGCCGTGCAAACACCGACCCTTCCTCCAACAGATCCCGCCTTAACACCTCTTAGACAGGAGCTGGATGTTGCAAAGCACTTGCTACAGCCATCGCCCGTTCCGCCTGCTGTTTCAGCAACCGCGCATGCTTGTGCCGAGGCTTTTGCAAAGGCCGAGAAGGCCGCTTGGGACGTCTTTCAAGACTCTCAGTTAGCGTATAACAGACCAGTGGGCGAGCAGCTCGATGTCTTAGAAGTCTATGCGTCCGATGATAGTCGGTTGACTCAGTCGGTTTCCGATAATGGGGGTCGAGCTTTAAGGTTCACTATACGAGATGGGGATCTTAGTACGGTAGAGGGTCAGCGTAGATTGTGGGACACACTTCAGGAAACGCAGCCCAAGCATATCTGGATGCGTCCCAGTGGTCGTGCCTGGGGCTCGTGGAGCAATTTCAATGCTGCACGTGGAGCCCAGCAGGCATCTCGAATCCAGCAAGCCCGGAGCGAAGACACTGTGCATTTGCAATTGTGCGCCCAGATCTTTCATTGGCAAATCAGCCGCGGCCGGCATTTTCACTTAGAGCAGCCCGCGCAATCGAAGATGCTTGAGAGTCCCGCCCTTAAGCCCATCCTTTCGGGGTCTAGGAAAGTGTTGGTAGACATGTGTGCGTTTGGCCTTAAAACACCTGTCTCCAACATTGCCATTAGGAAACGCACTTGCATTCTGAGTACAAGCCCTGAACTGATACGAAGTCTTGTTCAAAAGCAATGCCCGGGTCACTCCCAACACCAAGCTATTGCAGGTAAGCCGCGTCAGCTGAATGGTTTATCACTAGCTCAGTATGCTGGATCGTATTGCCAAGGGTTCGCGGATTATGTAGCACAACAGTTGCTGCGCGATCCTCCGGGGTCCATACCTGCCTCTGCGCCAGTCACGGATATGAGTTTGGCCGCGGATGCAGTAATACCCCTGACCCGTAAGCGCCAAAAGACCTCCACTAATCAATCGGTTCCCATTAGTCGGTTTGGAGCCCGGAAGCGTAACAGTAGTCCGTTATCCGAAGGAAGGCTGCGAGGCCAAGCTCAGCCTCGTGTATCCGACACTGATGCTGCTTCTGTCGAGAGTGTTGTGTCTGAGGTAGCCTGGAAGCCGATATTTGAGATGGTTTCTAAGCTTGTCACGAAAGCCTCCCCCACATTGATCCCGCCACAAAGCGACATAATGAAGGCCCTGCAGCAACAGATGCCCGCATATCATGTTATGCAAGGCTTCGCAGGTTGTGGAGGTCAACAACTACATTGGCCCCTAGGAGCCCTACCTAGTACGGTTGCCCCCTGGAGAATTAGCATATGTCAAAGAACAGGACCTAATGGCCAATCCGAGTTTGTCAGCCGAGAGCCTGAGCTACGAAGCTCAATTGCGAGTGCTCAGAGACGAGGCCGGGTGAAATCCATGGATTTCCTCATTACGGTTTTAGCCACCAAAAAGCAGGATCCAGCCCCACTCGTCTCTGAAAATGCGTCTTCTGGTGCCAGTCCAGCCGTTGAGCCTACTCCGACCGCCGAGCATGACTTAGAGGGTTGGGCGCCACCTCCTACCCCAATTCACGGACCCGCATTTCGAAATCTAGATAAAGAATCGAAGATGCTGTTGATCAGGGTCCATAAGAGTCTAGGTCACCCGGCCCCGCAAGTTCTCGCCCAACACCTTCAGGCCGCAGGCTACGACAAAGCCCTTGTTGACGGTGCTCTAGAGTATCAGTGTGACACTTGTCTTGAGTCAACGAAGCCCTTGCACCAAAGACCCAGTAAGCTCCCTGAACCACGAGAGTTTAATGAGCTTCTTGGAATAGATGGGTTCTTCTTCAAAAGCCAATCTGGATACCGTGCGTATGCGATTCATGTCCTAGACGAAGCTAGTTGTTTCCACCAGGGTCGGCGAACTCAATCAAGGCATGCATCTGAAGCTATGCAAACTCTGAATGATTGCTGGTTCTCCTGGGCTGGAAATCCTCGTAGGGTTTACCTTGACCCGGCAGGAGAGTTTCGTTCAGATCAGATCCTAGAGCTGTTTCAGGGAGCTAACATAAAGACGTTCGTCACAGCAGCGGCATGGCAACGCGGTCGTATTGAGCGTCATGGGGATATCATTAAGGAAATGCTAGCCCGTCTTGACAAAGATTCGCCCATTCTCAATGATGCCGCCTTTGACAAAGCCCTGCTGCAGGTCTGTCAAGCCAAGAATGCACTAGTGCGTCACCGCGGGTATTCACCCGAACAAATCGTTTTAGGTAAAGCTGTGCAGGTCCCCGGGAGCCTTACCTCCGATGAAGACCTTGCTTCCCACACTCTAGCCCTAGGGGAAGAGTTAGAATCCGAAATGCATCGGCAAAGGCTAGAGCTAAGGTGCGCAGCTAGGAAAGCATTCTTTGATGCCGACAATTCGCAAGCCATCCGACGAGCTGTTCTCCGCCGGAGTGTCCCCGTCCGGGGTCCCTATGCCGCAGGGTCCTGGGTTCTGTACTGGACTAAAAAGAGTTCGCCTAACAGGTTAGCTGCAGGTAGGTGGCACGGACCGGCAAAGGTGATCTGTCAGGAAGGGCAGTCCATTGTCTGGGTTGCACACGGCACCACGATCCTACGATGCGCGCCGGAAAACCTCCGACCTGCATCCCTTAGGGAATGGCAACAGACATCATCTTTCCCCGCCGGAGAAACAGCCTCTCGGACCGGAGGGGCTAGTACCTACCTTGACCTTACCGGTACCCAGCCTGAGACAACCACAGCTTCTCATTCTGAACGCCATCCTGCCAGTGTGGACGTGCCCACACCTGTCAATCCCGCACCACCCGACATTACGGCTGCCAGAGATTCCGAGTCTCAAGGGGGTGATGTAGCTCAGCCAGAGCAAGAACTCACGCCACAAGTGAGTGTCCAAGACCCTGAGAGTCTCGAAATGTCCAGAGCGCCCGAAGTTGAGCGCGATCCCGCTGCTCCTTCAGTTTCAAGCAGTTTGAATGGCCAAGAGACTCCGATGCCATCTGAAGTCCCTGCACCCTCTAGTGTAGATGCCTCCTTAATCCCTGTGCCCGACTCAGAGGATGGCCTACTCTCTGAGTCAATCCTGTTGGCATCCGAGACTGTGTTTGAGCCAGAACCAGAGATACCGGAGCTTCTGTCATTTACCACCTTAGAGGCTGCCGAGTTTGCCGAAGGACCGCCGCTTGCCGAGGATAATCTTCCTTACGTGCATGATCCTCTTGAGTGTTCAGATCAGCAAGCCTTTTGCTTGGAAATTCCCCTAAAGCCTCGAGACCTTAAACAGTGGGCACAGGAATCGTCACCTGAACAATTAGCCACTTTGGCTGCGGTGGGAAAGCGAGCTCGTGCCGAGGTCCGTGTAAAGGATCTAAGCCGGGAAGAGGTGGCCTTGTTTGACCAGGCCAAGCAGAAGGAGCTTCAGTGCTGGATTCAAACTTCAGCCATAAAACCAATCCTGCGCCGTAAACTTAACCCGTCCCAAATCTTGAAGTCCCGATGGATCCTTACCTGGAAAACTCCAGAACCAGGGGAAGATAAGAAACGAGCCAAGGCCCGCTTAGTAGTTTTAGGGTTTCAAGATCCCAAACTTGTTGAAGTAATGCGTGACGCACCAACCCTATCCCGTGAAGGTAGAGCTACCGTGCTGCAAACAATTGCCTCGTGCAAGTTTCCTCTGAGCTCCTTCGACATTAAGACTGCTTTCCTCCGTGGGAAAGCTGACGAAGGAAACCCGTTGGCGATGGAACCTCCTCCCGAGCTTAGAAAACTGCTGAACCTCCAGGAAGATGAAGTGTGCCAACTTGTGGGGAATGCGTACGGCAGGGTGGATGCACCACTCCTGTTCTACAAAGAGCTATGTAAGCAGTTAGGTAAGCTGGGTTTTGAGCCACATCCCCTGGAACCGTGCGTGTTTGTCTTGAAGACCGGAAGTCGCCTACGGGGAATCCTCGGAGTCCACGTCGATGATGGAGTGTGCGGAGGAGATGCTTATTTTCATCAAAAGGTTGAGGAGCTGCAGCAGGTTCTCCCCTTCGGGTCACGTAAGCATCAGAACTTCGTCTTTACGGGAATACAACTTGAACAGTTTCCGGATCACTCTATCCGTGCATCCCAGTCCGACTATGTGCATCGGATTCCGTCCATAGACATTGGCCGTCTTCGGCGTCAAGACCTCGACGCCCCTGTAAATGAGGATGAGCGTACTAAGCTCCGTGGGCTTATCGGAAGTCTTCAGTACGCTGTGACTCATACCCGCCCCGATGTCGCGGCACGCTTAGGTGAGGTCCAATGCCAGACGACCACTGCCACCGTCCAAACCTTGCTTCTTGCCAACAAGGTGCTAAGGGAAGCTCAAGAACATCACCAAGTAAGCATTGTCTTTCGGGCCATTCCCGTGGAACAGCTAACCTTTGTAGCCTTTGGAGACGCTTCCTTTGCATCGTCCAAGAACTTGAACTCCCACCAGGGCGTTTTGATCTGCGCAACAGATGGCCGCTTGAACCAAAACCTTGAAGCACCCATATCCCCGTTGACTTGGTCTTCGAAAAAGATACCTAGGGTTGTTCGGTCCACGTTGTCAGCAGAAGCCTACGCCATGTCCAAGGCAGTGGATCTCCTTGGATGGGTTCGTGCGTTGTGGGGTGTTATCCACATAACCGATTTCAAGTGGCAACAGCCTGAGTTGGGATTTAAGCAGCTTCATACGGCAGTCATCGTCACCGATTGCAAAAGCCTGTATGACCTTGTTACCCGTCTTGCTATGCCTGCTTGTGAAGAGTACCGGACCACCCTAGAAGTACTTCTCATAAAACAGAGATGCCTAGAAAACGCTTGTTTCCGATGGGTTCCTACTACGCTCCAGGCAGCAGACTGCCTTACGAAAGCCATGGACTCTAATCTCTTGCGAGCTGTCCTTGCCCGAGGACATTTTAAGCTGTATGATTCCTCTCAGACGCTTGAGAAGGACGCCCAACGTAAGAAGGCAATCGAATGGTTACAGGCACCACTTTCTTCTTGATCATAAGGATAGGTAGCATCCCACCTCGATTGAGTCTTCGGACAAGACTCCCATAACATGTCCTGAGCTGGAAGAGACTCAGTGCTGTGCCCGAGTCTTCGGACAAGACTCCCTGCAGAGTCCCCTCGTAGTCGGATGCACTTGATCGAAAAAGAACGGTCAGTGTGAAATCTTCCGTAGCTAGTGTCGATCATGTACATCCGACGTTTCCTCGTGGCCTGGAGGGCTCGAGGTCCTGAGGTGGGAGGGTCTGGGATCGCTCTGGGAGCGCATGGACCTGTGAGCTGGGAAAACGAAGGTGAGGCCATCTTCAACGGCAACTGCACTGACAGGGCTCAGCTGCTTCAGATTCTGGGATTCGGTCTTCGGAATTTCTTCTTTGAGCTGATCGGGGATCAGGCGCTGCCAGTGGGAATTCTCATTGAATTCACAACCCTAAACCCCTAAACCCCTAAAAACCCCTAAACCCCTAAGCCCCTAAACCCTAAACCCTAAACCTTAAACCCCTAAACCCTTAAACCCCTAAACCCTAAACCCTAAACCCTAAACCCCTAAACCCCTAAACCCCTAAGCCCCTAAACCCTAAACCCTAAACCCTAAACCTTAAACCCCTAAACCCTTAAACCCCTAAACCCTAAACCCCTAAGCCCCTAAACCCTAAACCCTAAACCCCTAAACCCCTAAAAACCCCTAAACCCCTAAGCCCCTAAACCCTAAACCCCTAAACCCCTAAACCCCTAAACCCCTAAACCCCTAAACCCCTAAACCCCTAAACCCCTAAGCCCCTAAGCCCCTAAACCCTAAACCCCTAAACCCCTAAACCCTAAACCCTAAACCCCTAAACCCTAAACCCCTAAAAACCCCTAAACCCCTAAACCTCTAAACGCCCCTCAGGCTCTCACCGCCCAGTGCCTCGGTCCTGGAGGAGTCTTCGGTTCCAAGCAGCGGCCTTGGAGTTATGCTTTGTTCTCTTTGCCCGTGCGGTTTAGGGGTTTAAGTGGGGACCCCCAAAAGCACAGAAGCATAAGCATCTTATGGGGATATCCCTACCTTATTGGGCTTCATTCTAAGGGGATTTATATGGGATATCCCTACCCTAATTTTTGCTTATGTGTGCTTTTTTGGGGCCCTATTAAGGGGTTCAGGGCTTTAGGGGTTAGCGGTTTAGGGGTTAGGGGTTTGGGGCTGTGTTTTCGGTGTCCGTGTGGTTCAGAGTGCATTTAGGGCTTAATCTAATTCAAGACGTAGGAACTTAGGTTTCGAGTAGTAGTTATGTAGCTTACTATGTGGCAGAGTAAGAGTATATGCTTATTATGTACTTGGACCCTGACCGTTATAGCTTTTGCTTCGTTTGTGTTCAGGATGTTTCTGCAACACCGGTACAACCCTAAAGCGGCCAATCACCAAAACCCACACAGCTTAAAGCAACCTCAGTCAAAAGCCCAGTGCTAAAGCCCTAAACCTTAAATGCGAATGAACACCGCAACGCTGCGAGCGCTCCTAAAGCACTAAAGCCCCAAAGAACTAAACTTGAACCGGAACCTTTCCATCCAGGTCTGAGGTGCACTCCATCCATGGCTGCCCGGCAGCTTCAGAATCCAGCGTGCTGATTGTTATTGTGGTTCCTTTCGCCTTTTCGGGTATATTTTCACGCAGACCGATGGACAGATAGACCGGTCGATAGATAGACAGACAGATCGGTGGTCGATGATAGACAGGTAGGTAGACAGATCCGACCACATATTACATATATCTATGGATATACACATATTCTTATTCTCACATATACATTCATACTTTTGCAAAGTACACACAAGCCATAAGGTAAAAGCCAGAAAGTTGGAATATGATTATCCTAACCCTTCTATGGTAAATTATAGGGTATCCCAGCCTGAAACCATATTCCAACTTTCTGGAGTTCCCTGTAATGCGAAGGTTCTCCATTGAACGTCGCTACAGGACCCCGAAGCCCTCGGCCTTGATCCCGACCCTCAAAACACCGCATAGTCCGGTTTAGGGTTTAGGGGTTTAGGGTTTAGGGTTTAGGGTTTAGGGTTTAGGGAGCAGTCATCATGCTCTTCCCCCAAAAGGGTCCATGTACCCAAATAGTATATACTTTGGTTTCAACGCATATACTTTTTTGTTGGGGGGGGATATCGGTTGATGATATAAATCCTGCATTACCCATAATAAGGAATATACCATTCTTCCCATTGTTTAGGGTCCTTAAGGAAATGCAAGATCTATATCATCAACAGTATGGACCCTTACGGTTCGACTCTGCGAGGGCACTTCCGACAGTTGTGTCCTCAACCGGGCGCGCGCTGCGAGGATTCTTGAGGTGTCCTGAATATAGGAGTCGTTTACTATTTTGGGGCTCGTTCCTTCTTATAAGATCTTATAAATATAGTCTAAAGGATCCCAAATGCCTATTAAGATTATTACGGCCCCTATAGTACATAAACCGTGACATAAATCGCGGACCCTAAATCCCGAAACCTAAGCCCGAAAAATAGCGCCTTAAACTGCAAACAGAAACTCTATAAGCCCTAAATCCCGAAACCTTTAACCTGGACATTAGGTAGCTTAAACCTTAAGCCCTAACTCCTGAACCCGATGCCCTAAGCTTCAAGTAGTTTCAGCCCCTCCCTAAACCCTAAACCCTAGTTTTTTCGGAACCAATGGCCCCCTAAGCCTTCCTTTACCTCAGGTGGCAAGTGGTGCTACGTCTGTGCGCACAACCATCAGGCCAAGGGATCTATCAGGGTTCCTTTTAACACTGTAAGAGCTCTTTGAAGGGCTCCTTTACGGGAGGGAGGGATCTATAAGGCTCCCTTTATGGGATTTGGAATCGAGGGGTTGGGGGTTTAGGGGTCAGGGGTTTAGGGCTTTGGGTTTTAAGGTTTTTGGGTTAGGCCGTAGGGTTTAGGGTTTTGGGGATTAGGGGTTTATTCGTTTGGGTTTGAGGGGCTGGGGGTTTAGGCGTTTAGGCTTTCGGGTTTAGGGGCTAGGGGTTTGGGCGTTTAGGCTTTCGGGTTTAGGGTGTAGGGTGTGGTATAGTGCTTAGGATCTACTAGAGGTTCCTTCAAGGGTTCCTGTGAGGGCTCGTTTTGAGGGTTCCTTTAAGAGTTTTTATTGTGGGGGCCCTTTAAGGGTACCATGCGGGTACTATAAGGGCTCTTTGTTGGGTTTGTGGTGGTGCTTTGCGTTTTTAGGGTTTACCTCAACCCCAAGTAACCTACCTTTTCAATTAAGGACTTATATAAAGAAATAACATTAGGCAACCCTAAATTAACTAAGGACTTATATAAAGAAATCATATTAGGGAACCCTAAAAGGGCAGGGTGCTTAGGGTCCAGGTTTTGGGATGGAAGGCTCAGATCCTGGCCTGAGAGCGTTTAGGGCTGTTGGGTGCCTTAAGGCTCCATGTAGCCATATGTCAGAGGGGAAAAGGAGGGACTCTTAATGGGGACCCCTACCCTATAATGGGGCTATATACTGGGTATATAATAGCTATATTAAGGGTATATACCTAGGGGTCCTCATTAAGGGTCCCTCCTTTCACCCTTGGAATATAGCATACACTTAGGCCTCAAAGTACCTATATAGGAACTCCTCTAAGGCCCAAGTATATACTATATGAGTACATGGAGCCTTAGGGGTGTAACTCGAGCGATATTGAAAAGTGGGAGCTTTCATCCATATGTCTGCAGCCTGTAAGACGGCATGTTTTGCAAGACTTCAGCATGCTTTGAGCATTATAGGTCGTGGAGATCAAGAGATTCGAGGTATCAGTCACAACTCGACAATATGCTGTATACTTGACTTCTCGCTAGTATGTTGTCTTATGAAAGAAGGGTTCATCCTTGATGATTATTAAATATTATAATGCCTGGAACCGCAAGAAACAGCCTTGCCGCCAACAAGGTGTACCCACAGTACGTCATCTTCCTGAGGTGAGCCGAGCTCTTGGGAAGCAGGACGACCGCAAGCGTGCTGCCGGACATGTAGAACAGGATAGGCACCTGCATACTTTTCTCTACCACGCAAGGCAGCCGTCTTTTCCCTGCTATATCCAAACACCAGAGCTCATCAACCCTAAACACCAACACCCTCAACCTAACTGGGTTCTTGGGAACTTAGGGTACCCACCTTGGAACCTCGTCGGATACGGTGGCAAGGTTTGTTTCCGGAGCCCAAAGAGCGAGTCTCTGAACCCTTATGCCACAAAGCCGAAATCCCGAAATCCGAAATCCTGGACTCTATACTGCGGCTTAGAGTTTAGAGTTTAGGGTTTATAACACTCTAAACCCCGCAAAAGTGGGGCTCCCTTGTGGGCTGTGGGGGCCCCCACCTGCTGTTTCTTGACCGGCGGCGGCTGCAGAATCTTGGTGGCGAAGCTTCTTGTACAGTCCGAGGGAACTTTCTCTGGGTTCTCTTTAAGGGAATTAATTTAAGTTACCGAAATTTAGGGTTTATCGGGGGTTTAGGGGGTTTAGTGTTTATAGTGGTTTAGGGTCTAGGGGTTGAGGGACGTAATTTAAGTTACCATAGTTTAGGGTTCCATTAAGGCTTCTATCAGGGTTTAGGGGTTCAGCAAGATATTTTAAAGTATCATAATGGGGATCTAAATGGGTTCCTTTAAGGGTTTAGGGTTTAATGAAGGTTTAAGTCACCATGATAATAGGGATCTACCGTAAATAAAAACATAGTTTCTTTACAAATGTAACTTAAGTTAAATTCCTAAACCCTAAACCACTATAAACCGCTAGACCCTAAACCCCTAAACCCTAAACCCCCTCTAAACCCTGATCCGTATTACGGTAATTCAAGATAAATCCCTTAAAAAGAACCCAGTCCTTGGGACAGAACCGCCATCAACGATCGTGATAACACTCTCAATGCTGCACGGCGTCAAAGTCTGAGGGTCGACACCGCCAGGGTTTTGGGTTTAGGGGAATTAGGGTTTAGGTGTTTAGGGGTTTGGGTTTAAGGTTTAGGGTTTAGGGTTTAGGGCTTATCATAGGAGGCCAAAAAGGGGTTTTAGCCTATTGGGGTTTAGTAGGGATTAGGGTTCCCACAATAGGGTTCATATTCAGGAATCCCTACCCCAAGAATCTTCAGCCCCCCTTTTGGCCTCCCATCAGTTTAGGGTTCGGGGAGTTTTGAGCAAGTCAGTCTGGCAGTAGCAGGTGGCAGGTAACAGTACGTATCAGCAGCGGCAAAAGTAGAAGTGGCAGTAGCAGTAGCTGGTAGCGAGCAGCAGTTAGCAGGTAGCGGGTGGCAGCTGGCATGTTTCAGGTGGCCAAAGCAGCAGCAGTATGTATAGCAGTAGCAGCAGTAGTATGATCAGTACTAGTACAGCATTATTATTATTATTATTAGTAGTAGTAGTAGTAGTAATAGTAGTAGTAGTAGTAGTAGTAGTAGTAGTAGTAGTAGTAGTAGTAGTAGTAGTAGTAGTAGTAGTAGTAGTAGTAGTAGTTGTTGTTGTTGTTGTTGGTTGTTGTTGTTGTTGTTGTTGTTGTTGTTGTTGTTGTTGTTGTTGTTGTTGTTGTTGTTGTTGTTGTTGTTGTTGTTGTTGTTGTTGTTGTTGTTGTTGTTGTTGTTGTTGTTGTTGTTGTTGTTGTTGTTGTTGTTGTTGTTGTTGTTGTTGTTGTTGTTGTTGTTGTTGTTGTTGTTGTTGTTGTTGTTGTTGTTGTTGTTGTTGTTGTTGTTGTTGTTGTTGTTGTTGTTGTTGTTGTTGTTGTTGTTGTTGTTGTTGTTGTTGTTGTTGTTGTTGTTGTTGTTGTTGTTGTTGTTGTTGTTGTTGTTGTTGTTGTTGTTGTTGTTGTTGTTGTTGTTGTTGTTGTTGTTGTTGTTGTTGTTGTTGTTGTTGTTGTTGTTGTTGTTGTTGTTGTTGTTGTTGTTGTTGTTGTTGTTGTTGTTGTTGTTGTTGTTGTTGTTGTTGTTGTTGTTGTTGTTGTTGTTGTTGTTGTTGTTGTTGTTGTTGTTGTTGTTGTTGTTGTTGTTGTTGTTGTTGTTGTTGTTGTTGTTGTTGTTGTTGTTGTTGTTGTTGTTGTTGTTGTTGTTATTGTTGCTGTTGTTTTTGTTGTTGTTGTTGTTGTTGTTGTTGTTGTTGTTGTTGTTGTTGGTGGTGGTGGTGGTGTTGGCGTTGGTGTTGGTGTTGGTGTTGGTGTTGTTCTTGTTGTTGTTGTTGTTGGTGGTGTTGGTGTTGGTGTTGGTGTTGGTGTTGGTGTTGGTGTTGGTGTTGGTGTTGGTGTTGTTGTTGTTGTTGTTGTACTACTACTACTACTACTACTACTACTACTACTACTACTACTACTACTACTACTACTACTACTACTACTACTACTACTAGTACTGCTACCACTACTACTACGACAACAACAACAACTACTACTACTACTACTACTACTACTACTACTACTACTACTACTACTACTACTACTACTACTACTACGACTCTGACCACGACGACGGCGGCTACACAATCTAGTGCTTAGTGCTTCTACTGCTTTGATGGCAGTGCTACTATTGGTGCGCAATGGCCATCGTCCAGCTATAGTCACATTCGCAGTACTTCTGATTGACAGGTTCTCATTCAAGAAGTTACGTAAGAGTTTTTCTTTTGTAATGAATACTACCAGATCATCGCGGCAGCTCTGCTGCATCAAACACGATGCCATTTAGGTCGAACGGCTGCCACCTTTACATGTGCCCATACCACGACACGCTCATAAGTGCCGACTGTGCTAGTGACTGAGTGGCGGTGAGACCCTTCTTCCGCTTTTCTGACAACGATGCTCTCACACGCTAGGAAGAATCGCAATGGGCAGTGCTCCTGTCCTGCACAAACCCTAAACCCTAAACCCTAAACCCTAAGCCCCTAAACCCTAAACCCCTAAACCCCTAACCCGAAACCCCTAAACCCCCAAACCCCTAAACCCTAAACCCTAAACCTTAAACCCTAAGCATGTAGACCTAAACCCCAAACTTTAACCATCCTTAAGTCGCAACCCGTCACTCACCTCAATCGACCTCAGTCCCTCAACCTCAAGAGGTTTTAGGGTTTAGGGTTTAGGGGTTAGGGACACCCCCCCCCAAAAAAAAATACTATAGGTAGTTTTTGATGTCTATATATATATGTATATATATATATATATATACGGTTTAGGGGTACCCCCCCCAATAATGGTATAGGAAATTATTAATGTCTCTATATATCGAAAACCTTAAGACCCAGCCGCCCCAGCCTATACAATCCCAGGGTTACCATGTCGGAAACACAAACAAGGGGAAACCGAGACAGAGACTGCACACAAAGTTTTAACCTCTAAATGTTGCAGCCCCGAATCCGCAATCGAAACCGTCAAGCCTTCCCGCTTCAATGCTTAATGCAAAAACCCCAAACCCCCAAACCTAAACCCCAAAAAGAAAAGACAGGGTTAGTAAAGCCCTCAAGGAACCCTAAAAGAAGCTCTGTGACAAGGAACCCTTTATCAAGTCGTGATAGCGGAGCCTAAACAAGAGCATTTGCCGGGACCCTCAATAGCAGAATCCTTATTCTAAGGACCCGTTTTTCACGGGGGCATCCATAAGTCTGAGAAACGACTAATTAAGCGCTCAGCGCGAAGAACCCGTCATAATTTCATCAAAAAGCCTCAACGAACCCTTCATAAACCCCGCACCCAAAACCCCGAATCCTAAATCACAAGCCTTTATCTGGTATCAGCCCTGTGATTCGAAACTGGAAGCTTTCCTGCGCGAGCGCCCGTTGAAGATGCACTTTGGGTGCAGAGCAGGGGTGTGGTTTGATCTGGTTTCATCGGGGTTCTGTAGCACATTGGGGGTCTTGCCACGTAAATCTATGGGGTTTCATTGGGTGCTGTGGTGGGTTTTTAATTGAAGTATACCGGTGGCCCAAACAACCTACCTTTTGAAGGACTTCTATGTACAGACGCCAAAAACAGAACCCCAAAGAGTTGTGTGGGAGGTTGTCAACATTATGGTTCCCCTTTTGGGTACCCTACATAATAGGTGCCGTAGTACATGAAGGACCCAGAAAGGGACCCTAATTTTGAAAGCCACCCATGTGTTTTCGGCTACAGGTAGGGTTTGGGCTTTAGGCCTTCGCTTCCTTGGCGTTGTTTCGTAGGGCTTTGCGGGTTGAGGCATATTTAGGGTTCATGTTAGGCCTTCACGGCTTTCGGAGTCTAGTGTTTAGGGTTCTGGGTCTTAGAGCTTGAGGGCTTTCAGGGTTTTTATGCTTTGCGGTTTAGGGTCAAGGGTTCCAAGTTCAGCTGAAGCAGATGTTGTCGCAGCACTAACGATCCTTGTCAATGTTTCAACTTTTGCGAGTTTTGAAGTTTATGAATATAGGTTGGGTACTGCCCCCACTCAGTAACAGTTGGATAATATTCATAATATAGAGATATAAGGACCTTAATAGTAGCCCTAATATAGACTGTAACTGTATGGGGGCCGTACCCAAAATAGGCCCCGACTGACATGACGCAGGCCTTTCTGCAAATAAGGTCACCAATCCCAGATTTCAGATGCGTGGGGCTCCGGGTGTGGCTTGGTCTCTTGATGCACACAACTTGACGTTTCGTTGGGCTTGCAGCTGTAAGGCGGGCCAAGCCGCTAGTTCCTCATGACTGACACAACATCGCAACTCTACACTTTGGGGTTTAGGGTTCAGGGTTCAGGCACTCCCGCCACACCCTCCTTCCGTGGGCGCGCACTTGTGCAGATTGCAGTGGAAGCAGCATAGCTACAGGGCCTCCGTTGTACCGAAGACCATCGGCGCCCCAAGCAGTCAAAATGTGATGTTGCTTGAGTAGACAACGGAACCCTTAGCTTAAGGGTCCATGGTCCCTTTCTTGTATGTTTGGGGCTTAGCGTCTTGGGCCTAGGGTTGAGGGGCTTTCTGCTTTGAGAGCTTGACTTGAAGGTTT